AGGCCCTTCAAGGGCCTGGTAACAGTTCTGATAATACTGATGTTCGGAGCCTGCCTGCGCAGTTCCTGCCCGGACCCTGCCTGGTCTTCCAAGGTTATAGCCGGTGGAGTGAGGTCTTATCACACCCCTCTGGATGGATGGTCTGGAAGGCCCTAGGGGGCTCTGTGCTGGCTGGTTGACTTCTGGTGGTCCAGGAGCTCCCAGGTAACGGGCTCTCCAGTAAGCCTCCCAGGGACTCCATCAGTCTAACGAAAATGGAGAGCAGGGTCAACACCACACCTAAGAGATAGAGGTTCAACAGAGGCTTCATGGCTGAAAGGACCCCACACTCCTCTGCAGAGCAGTAAAGCTTTCTTCCACTTCTGCAAGGCCTCTGGATGCTGAGGAAAGAGAGGTGTGGTTAACCTATAGCCTTCTGGGATATGCATGCATCTGGCCCTGACTTCTGTCTTCCTAGGGAGCTAAGACAGGGAGATAGGGACCAGCGCATGTTCTTCCGCAACAGAATCTCCCAGCATATTTACACTATAAACTCCATGGCCCCAGAGCTAGACTTACTTCTGGGGCTAACTCAAAAGCACTCCTCAAAACTTTTACATCTTCTAGGGCACCTGGGTGGCTCAGGGGTAAGCTTCCCCCCGACCCTTGATTTAGGCTCAGGTCATGATCCCACGGTTTGTGGGTTCCAGCCCAGCCAGCATTGGGCTCCGACAGCACAGACCCTGCCTCGGATTCTCTCCCTCTCTTCCCCTCCCCCACATGTATGGGTGCCCTCTCTCTTTAAAGTTTAAATAAACTTTAAAAACAAAGCAAAACAAAACAACTTTCACTTCTTCTAAAGCAAAACCTTTTTACTCCTCCCGCCTGGTGCAATGCACAATCCCTGTGCCACAGCTCAGGGCACAGAGGGGCCAAAAATCTTCCAGAACCGAGTCTGTTTCTGAGGGAGGAGTTGTAAGAACATGCCCTTGAGAAAGCAACCTGTCTAGAGGTCTCCCTCACATCTCAGTCAGGTTCCTGTTAATCATAAATTTTTTGATAAGTAAAAATAATTCTAAGACAGTCAAATCTATCTAGTTCACTTAACAACTACGCCCTGAATAGTACAGTGTGTTAGGCGCTCTGCAAGGTACTACGGCCACACGGGGTCCGGCAGACACGAACCCTGTCCTCATCGGGCGGACAATCTAAGCAAGAAGAGAGGCAGTTACCACCCACCCACCGCGCCAAGTGCTGTGACAAGAAGGCTTCTTCGGGAGGGCAGGACTGGGACACCTAATCCAGCACTAGCGAGCATGGGGAGGGCGTCATGTAACACAGGGTCATCCCCGAAAACACAGCTGGAGCGGCTGACTCCCGGACCCGAGTGGAGGCGGAGCAAGGAGCACCCGCTCCAGGCAGCGCGGCCCCAGGCCAGGAACCCGAGGCGGCCCGAGGGGCACGCAGCCCGGGGAATAGGGGCGGGAAGGCGGGGAAGCCCACAGGGTCGCTCACCTCCAGGAGGAAGGGCCAGGAGCCGTCCACTCGCGGTAACAGCGGGTCGTGCAGGAGTCGAGAAAGTCAGCCCCGGGACAGAGCTGAATCGCAACCAAGAAGATTCTCGGAGCACAAAAGCTCAGCCCTCCGCAGGCAACACCGGGAGGCCGCCCACACCGCCCACTTATAGCCACGTCCCAGCCCCGGAGCCCGCGCATGCGCACTGGGGCCGCACGCACTCGCCCGGACGCACGTCCGCGGCCCCGCCCCCAAGCGGGGCGGTCCGAGGTCGGGGTCTCCGAGCAGGGCTCTCAGTCCGACCTGTTTTGGAAAGAACGCAACTTGGGGTTCTGAGTCACTGAGATCGGCAGTAAGGTCAACGTGTGTGTTAACTCGGACTGCTTCTTCCTGCTGCAGGAAACTTTGGAAGGAATCAGCACGTTTACCCCCGTACTAAGTGGATTGGAAGACACACCTGAGGTGCCCCAATCCAAGGGACCCTCAGGTCAGATGAAGACCGGTCTGCGGAGGAGGGCTTCTTCACCAGACGTTCCAACAAAGCACAGATTGTCAGAAGGCATCAGACCCCCACCCCCTGCCCCCAGTGTTTAAATTCCAGGGACTGAAGAGCTTTCACTTTCTAGAAGTGTCAGCATTCCGGGCACCACCCCCACTCTCCAGTCCAAGGCCTGAGGTTTAATTTACCACTGATATCATTGGAATGGTGAGGCGTTTTCGCATCGTATTAAGTTCTGCTTTCTACGAAAGTTTGTCATGTGTTAGAAAATGTGAAACACTCAGCTGGCCCTGGTGCCTGTTCTGACGTCACAAAGACGTCACTTTGTACTCACTGGGCCTCAGTTTTCTCACCTAAAATGTGGACACAAGATGATTTTATTTTATTATTTTTTTAACGTTGACTTATTATTCAGAGAGCATGAACATGGGAGGGGCAGAGAGAGGAGGAGCCACACAATCCGAAGCAGGCTCCAGGCTCCGAGCTGTCAGCACAGAGCCCGCAGCGGGGCTTGAACCCAGGAACTGTGAGATCATGAACTGTGAGATCATGACCTGACCCCCAAGTAGGACGCTTAACCGACTGAGCCACCCAGGCACCCCTACAAGACGATTTTTAAAGATACTTTCAGATTGAACCAAAGAGCTAGGAGGTGACAGTTCAGTCTCAGATTTGGGGGCTGGGAAGCTTTGCTAATCCCACTGCTACCCCCACCCCGCCACCCCCGCAAAACCAGAGAAATGTAACCGTTCTACTGTGAGAGCACCCAAAGGCGGATCTCGGAAAATAGAGAGTCCTGGGAAGACACCAGCAGTCAGCGGGCCCCTGGGAAGGAACCTTCAGGCAAGAAGGCTTCCAGTGGTTTCCTTGCTTTCCTCCTGGGGAGGAGGAGGAGGGCAGTGGGCCAAAGCGCCGGGGCAGGTGAGTCTAGGCTGGTCCACGGAGCTGTAGGACTGGTGGTTCCACGTGCCAGGATCATGTGCCGAGGCTGGATGGGGGAGAACCCGGGAGCCCTGCCGTGCTCTGCCTTTCAGTGAAAAAGAAGGAAGGGAGGGGCCAAATCCCAACTGCGACCTTTCCCCTACTTTCTGGGTTCACAGTCTTCTGTTTTCCGGGAGGAGTGGGTGGAGAAAGTTGGGGATGAAGACGTGCTGGCAGGCAGGCACTTAGAAACTAAATTTTCTGTTTAGCCGGCAAGAATTTTTGGTCTTTCCTTAGAGTTTTGTCCGCTTTTGTGCTGGACCCAGTGACTCTTGCTCTGTTGTTAGGAGACGCTAGAGCGCCAAAATCACACTGCCAGATGTCCCAAAAGCCATCACTTGCTAGTTGGGGGCTTTGGGCAAATCCTTTAATCTTGTTGTGCTTCAGTTTCCTCACATGTTATGTGGAATGATAATAGCCCTTACCTGGAAAGTCAATGAATTCATCCTTGTATATAGCACAAAGAATGGTGCCCGGCACATAGAAAGCATTCCAGGGGGGGGGGGGGGGGG